TTTAAATGAGTAGGCAAGAGTTTTTGTTCTAGTTGAGGCGGCTCAATGATTGATGGTTGCAACGCCTTAAATTCATCCTTGCTCAAATCTCCAAACTCGAACTTCTCCACTGGTGATGATAAAGTGTCGGCCTCTCTTTCCTTTTCCGCTGCTTCTAGTTCTTGCTCCAAACCTGCAGTTATCAAATCACAAAATTCTTCCATAGACACAGAGTTAGTTATCTGAATAGTCGAGCACTCTTTTACTTCATCTGAAAGCCGCATAGCATCTAGTACGTTGAATGTCACTTGCTTGTCATTCACCTTCATTGTGATCTTTCTCTTCCTTACGTTGAAAATTGTATCTCCTGTTGCGAGAAATGGCCTTCCAAGTATGATAGGGACGTCCAAGTCTGCTTCACAATCTAAAGTAATGAAATTTACAGGGAAGATAAACTTATCAACCTTGACTAGTACATCCTCTATTTTTCCCTCGGGTTTTCTAATAGACTTATCTACAAATTGGAGGGTTACAGTTGTGGGGCAAGCTTTTTCTATATTAAGTTCTTTAAAAACTGACAAAGGCATTGAATTTATACTCGCGCCAAGATCACACAATGCCCTACCTAGATTTTTGCCTCCTATTGAGCATGAGATAGTAAAACTTCTAGGATCTTTACACTTAACAAGTAGGGGATTCCCTAAGGCATCGCTACTACACTTAGTTAATGCAACTGTTTCACGTTCCCCTAACTTTTTTTCTTCTAGAAATAATATCCTTTAAAAATTTGGCGTAATTAGGCATTTGCTCAAGGGCATCAACTAGAGGGATGTTAATATGAAGTTGTTTCAAGATATCGAAAAATTTACGGAAGTGTGTCCTGATTTTTCTTTACCAAACGTTGGGGGAAAGGAGGATGAGGTATAGAGTTACTTACCTGCGGGGCCATTGGCCTACTAACCTCAATTTCTACTGGTTGGTCAGGTTCTGTTGTAGTCTCTTTTTCCTTTGAAGGACTGGATGCTTGTTCATCCAGCATTTTTGGTCTTTCATAACTAACCCGCTCCGAGTTGTAATGGCTTTGAAATGCTCCTTACCTTCTCTTTTGGGCTCCTCTATAGTACTTGGTAATGTACCTGGAGGTCGACTTTTAAGTTCATTGGCGAGCTGCCCTATCTGAGCTTCCAAATTTCGCATAGCTGCGTTATTTCTAGACATGTATTCTCGCATAGCTGTGTCATTCCTTGTCGTGAATTCTCGCATAGCTGTGTCACTTCTAGTCGTGAATTCTTTCATCATACTGGTCATACATTCCTTCACCATACTTTCCATACTACTCATACTAAACTGCGCTGGCTCTAGTGCACTTTTCTGTTGATTGTATTGCTGTGGAAGTTGAGGTAAAGCCAGGAGTCCCGGAGGGTTATAGGTCTTATATTGTTGGTTTTGAACTTGACCTGCATTGTGGGAACTCCCTTGCCCACTCCATGAAAAATTAGGATGGTGCCTCCATCCCGGGTTGTAGGTGTTCGAGTAAGGATTAAAGTTCTTTTGATTCCCTTGCCCTACATAACATAAAGAAGCTGGATTAGATGGGCAATTTTCAGAATTATGAGAATCTCCACAATAATAACAAATAGACTCAGTTATATGATAAACAGGAGCAATATTGGTATTTGTTGTTGATAGTGGTGTAGGTGCGACATTGTTCCCTTGCATATTCTTCATCATTTGCGTAAGAGTATCTAATTGACTCTTCATCAAAACAATTCACAAAGAATGAAATTAAAAAAAAACAAAGTCTCCCGCAACGGAGCCAAAAACTTGTTGCGCCTCTGCTTAATAGCACAAGGGTAAGTGCAAGTGCACACTGTCACAAGTATAATTTAGAAATATTCCAAGTTCGTCTCCACAGGAATTAGTTTTCTTTTAAAAATGAATTTGTAAACTGCTTGAATGTGCAATCGGGTTTGGGATAAAAATTTGGTGAATATATTGGGAAACACAATTTAAAAACACAAGGATTAAAAAGCCAACCCCCTACTAAGATTTAGTTCTAAAATATGAATTACACCTATCAAGCGTGCCCGTAATTAAGCTCAATTTATGCAAACTGGTTCAACTCTTATTCCATACTGCTTTTGGTTTGTTTAGAAGCTCAGGCTAGTATTTACATATGTCTATGCAACTCTAGAATCTTAAATAAATCAAGTCCCAACTTACGTTTAACGGGTAAGAGAGCCTTATTTAGGATCTTGTTTTAGTTCTTATTTCTAAGTAACTTCTCGTTTTACCTTGATGAGATCTGTTTGACTCTAACCTTTTCAGAATTAAATTCAAACTAATGTGATTTAAACAAGTGGCCAACAAGAAAATCAACTGGAATAATTATATCAATCAAGATAAGCAAAGAGAGCGTAATACGCCGTGCTCACTGATAGATGTAATTTAAAATAGATGAACTAAACCATTCGTAGGAGGGTTGAAGAAACAATTTAGCTACTCATGGAAATGAAAGAAATGAAAATACAAGAGAAGATAACAAAAGCATGCATTTAATTAGAAACGGAAAGAAAGTATAAAATAAAACAAGTTGAATTGCAATAAATAAACAAAGAAAAATTGCAGAAAAATTAATTGAAGAACAAAACTTAAAAACTAAAGTTGATAACAAAGTAGAAAGAAAAGAACTAAAGCATGAAAAATGAGATGCCTTGAAGTGATGTTTGGGAGCTCATTTTATAGGCCATGGAGGTAACAAGATGTTGAGAAATGCATGGGAGGTTGGAACCAAATGAGGTTGTAGAGATTTTAGGAACTAATAACAAATCTTGGACCAATTACTTGGTCAAAAGTTGTTATTCTCGTTTTGACAATCTAGGCATCGAATGTGGCTGAAGCATTGTGAAGCTTGAATATCAAAATAACTTCGCTGGCTCATTCCTCTAGTAAGCTAAAATTTCTGGTCTTGCGATGTGTCTGACGCATTGTGATTATAAATCTTCACTTTTCCTTACAAAATAAGCATATTGACCCAAATTAGCCTTTATTTACCTATAACTGAATTCCAAAGTCCCTAATCACAAATTATGCATATTTTTCTTAAATTATATGCATGAACATACATTTTTCATCCCAAAATAACCATCAACTAAGCAAGGGGCGGATGTACGTTGGGCCCAAAGGGGGCTCGAGACCCATTGAACTTTTTAAAATAAAGAATAAGTATTTAACGTTCTACGTATGTTAACATAATTTTCCTTTG